GCCCGGCTATTTTTTTTGCTTGCAGCCATCATTGTTGTTTGGTGGGCCAGGGCTGGATTCAAACCCACCACCTTGGGTGTACGTGGCTGGTGGCTTAGCCACCTGAGCCACAGGCACCGAGCCGATTTTTCTTGCACTTAATGAAAAGAAATGTTTTGTTATTTATTTCTAGAAGTCTTTAATACAGTAATAGAATTTGATAGTTTTTTTGTTTTTTTTTTTGAGACAGAGCCTCAAGCTATTGCCCTGGGTAGAGTGCCATAGCATCTCAGCTCACAGCAACCTCCCACTCCTGGGCTCAAGCGATTCTCTTGACTCAGCCTCCCAAGTAGCTGGGACTACAGGCACCTACCACAACACCCAGCGTTTTTTGGTTGTAGTTATCACTGCTGTTTGGCAGGCCCAGGCTGGATTCAAACCCACCAGCTCTGGTGTATGTGGCTGGCGCCTTAGCCGCTTGAGCTACAGGCACGGAGCTAGAATTTGATAGATTTTAACTTCCCTCAATTGCAAATGTATGTCTTGCCCCATTTCAGATCACCACAATGGTTGGTACTCCTCCATTTCAGATACCCATCTTTAGAATGTGAATTTTCTTCTTAGGAGCAAGTTGTATGTTGATTGATGAACAAAAGACCAACACTGTGGATAGCCCAGAAGTAGACAGCTTTGCCAACATATATAAAATAATTTGGCCAAGTGTTTCCATTGGTAATTTCATAGGTTGAGATGAACCTGATTCTCCTAGATTATTAATCTTGGAAAATGTGAGAATAATTGCATTTGCTTTTAATTCTCAGTTCATTTTTCAAAATGCGAATGTTGTAACTTTTAACTGTATTTATGCGGCTATCTTTGAAGGAGCTTTCCCCAGGTCATTTACTGCACATATGTTGACACCAGACTCACTTCTCATCTCTTACTATTAACCTTTTTGAATCACAAACCACATGAGTAAACTTTCTAACACTTCAGCTAAGCAGGTCCTTTGCCTCCATTCTGATTTAGCTAGAGCTGTGTGATCTTACACAAGTTATTTAACTTCTCTATGACTTATTTTCTTATCTGTAAAATCTAGAGAATAGTACTTCACAAGGTTGTGGTGATAATTAAATGAATATATAAATGTTAGCTAGTTTATAATTGCTATCTATTATTAATCCCTCACTGCTTTGGAAAAACACTCAAACTGTGCTTTTCTCTAAACTCCACACCACAGCTATCAACACAGAAGACTTCTGTGACCAAATGTGAGCATTTTCCCAACACACCTGCTGGGTGTCCTCTGTTTCCATTCTAGCATTGTCTACCCAGAAAGCGTCAGGTCCCACAAATTGAGGGCTCAGTTCCCAAGACTGACCCCTCCTTTGTACCAGCCACAAGTCTGGGCCTTGGGAACTTCTGATGGATCTGCTTTAAATTACAGATCCCATGACTCCCTCTTTGGGACAATTTGCTAGAACAGCTCACACAACATTTACTTACGTTTCCCAGTTTACTACAAAGGATATCTTCAAAAGCAGACAAAGAAGATGTATACAGATGAAGGGGTACATAGGACGGGGTCTGAGTTCTTGTTCACCTTCCTGTTCGGCTCTCTGGGAGCTCCCTGAACTCTGTCCTTGGGGCCATTTATGGCAACTTCAGCACAGGCAACTGTGTCAAAACATGATTAGGCAAAAAGGATGTGTCCCACACCCGGCCAGGCCTGTCTGTGCTGATTCTTTCTGCTCTCTCTGAACCGCATTCTTTCCTCCTAGATTTAAGGCAGGAACTCCTTATAACCCATAGTCAGATTAGAGTCCTGCCTTGGGCAGGTAGAAGGAGGGCAAGAGAAAGTCAGATTCCTAAGGCTGCTCCTGAGGCCTAAAGCACCCCAACACTGTAACAAGGACTATGCGAGTTATGAGCAGGGGCTATGAACAGAAACTAAGATGTGGCTCGGTGCCTGTGGCTCAAGTGGCTAAGGCGCCAGCCACATACACCTAAAGTGGTGGGTCCGAATCCAGCCCGGGCCGCCAAATAACAATGACGGCTGCAATCAAAAAATAGCCAGGCATTGTGGCGGGCACCTGTGGTCCCAGCTACTTGGGAGGCTGAGGCAGGAGACTTGCTTGAACCCAGGAGTTGGAGGTTGCTGTGAGCTGTGGTACTACAGCACTCACTACCCAGGGCGATAGCTTGAGGTTCCGTCTCAAAAAAAAAAAAAAAAAAAAGAAACCAAGATGTGTCATTAACACCACACTCAGCCTTGTCCTAGACTTTTCAACCTCTAAATTGGATACTCTGGTCTTTGGCCCCACCCTGGGATCTTCCTGGTTGTTTCCTGCTCTGCTCTACGCATGCCTGCCTTGGACATTACCCAGCCCTCTGCCGCCTTTTACCCCTCATAGTTTTCTTTCTTACGTGGCCTAGGTTTTCTGATCTATACATTCACATCTCTTGCCAGCTCCTGGCTGCCCTTCCCCCCATACTCTGCCATAGTCACTCTGCAGATCTCCAGCACGGAAGCAGTTCCACTATTTTCTTTGTTCCTGAAGGGGACAGCTGTACTTTGCCCAAAATTTTGAGCGACATGAGCTGATGCCACCACCCATCTGTGTTCTCTGGCCACATGCTTCCCTGCCACCCCTGACCCACTCCCTGAAATGGCTGTTCCAAGCCTTGATGACCCCCCTTATTCCCAAGACCTGCCCCTGCCCTGAACGCCCTGCTCTAGCTCAGCATCCTGATTCAAGGATAAAGACTAAGAATTGGAAGAAATAATTGTGAAATATTTGTGAATAATTTAGCACCTTATGCTATGGAATTTCATAATAGGGAATATTATGCAGGCATTAGCATGAGCCCATATGAATCTCCGAAACCGTATTTCAGATCTCCTACTGCCTACGCCCTAATCCTATGATTAATCGGCTCCGGGAGCTCTACTTTTTGCAATGACCCTCATATTAGAACTGTGAGTTCTGCTGGCTGTTCTCATAGACCAGGCCCACACTGCCTTGGGCTGAACGTCTGTACCATAAGGGACAGTATGGCCTCCGGGCTCCCTTCTCCACCCCTTCCACCAATCTCTTTGTTTCGACAGTAATTATCTTAAAGCCCCACATTACCCATGTCACCAATCTTGCTGATTAAAGCCTTTTTGCTGCTGTTATGGTAACAGCAGATTTCTCGATTCACCTTCCACCGTCTGTGCAGAGCTCTGGCCACTCCTCTGCTCCGGCCTCATGGTTCACGTGCGTTCACCTGCCGGTGCCTTCTGCTTTTCTCACACCATTCTCTTTTCTTGGAATGACCTTTCTGTTTTCTACTTTTGTATGGCCTTCTTTTTCTAGAAGGCTTTGCACAAATATTTAATCTTTTATAACCCCATTCCTAGCCTTTTTTGGTCTTTGCCTGTAATCCTGAACAATTACAGTCAGCTATTGCCAATAAAATCACTTAGTACTTAATATATAATGTGATTTGACATTTATCTCCACATGTAGAGCTGATCTATACCTCTCTGATTCTCTGATATCTAACACAATGCTATATGAATTAAATCATTCATTTGATGGGTGACATTTTGGCTAAAATTTCAGGTCAAACAGACCTGATTTGCAGTAGGGACTCCATCACTGATTACTGTTTAGGGCTGCCATGTACAGTTGCGCAAGCTGTGCACCGCGCATCTTCAGGAGGCACTGTTCCCAAGGACCACAAGCATACCTGGAGTACTGCATTAAGAACTGGCCCTCGGGGCAGCACCTATAGATCAGTGGTTAGGGCACCACCACATATATGAAGGCAGGCAGGTTCGAACCTGACCTAGGCCTGCTAAACAACAATGATAACTGCAATAAAAAAATAGCCGGGCATTGTGGTGGGTGCCTGTAGTCCCAGCTACTTGGGAGGATGAGGTAAGAGAATCACTTAAGCCCCAGAGTTTAAGGTTGCTGTGAGCTGTGATGCTATAGCACTCTACTGAGGGCAACATAGTGAGACTCTTTCTCAGCTTTGGTCTCCTCATCTGTAACATGGCAATGATAATAAAAGCAGGTGCCTATTAGGATTACTGAGGGGATTAAGTGAGTCAATACTTAGAAAACACATAACTTAAGGCCTGACACAAAAGTTATCTGCTTAATATGAGTGTTAGCTACTGTTAATGTCATCAACTTCAGATTAAGGAAGATCAGAGATACACTTTATTTTAATAAAATTGAATATGTAAAAATATTGATATAATAAAAAATAAAAAACCAAAACATCAATCTTTTGAGTTCATCTCAAAATTATTTAAAATAAAGTTACTTTTAGTAAGACATAGCTATGGTATTTAAATTATAAAAATTTGGCTTATCAGGGTGGTGCCTGTGGCTCAAAGGAGTAGGGCACCAGCCCCATATATGGGAAGTGGTGGGTTTAAACCCAGCCCTGGCCAAAAACTGAAAAAAAAAAAAAAATTTTTTTTTAAAAAGGGCAGTGCCTGTGGCTCAGCTGGAAGGGTGTTGGCCCCATATATTGAGGGTGATGGGTTCCAACCCAGCCCCAGCTAAACTGCAACAAAAAAATAGCTGGGCGTTGTGGTGGGCACCTGTAGTCCCAGCTACTTGGGAGGCTGAGGCAAGAGAATCACCTAAGCCCAGGAGTTGGAGGTTGCTGTGAGTTGTCACATCACGTCACTCTACCAAGGGCTATAAAGTGAGACTCTGTCTCTAAAAAAAAAAAAATGACTTATCATTTTTGTAATGTCCCATATCTCATACATAAAATACTTTTAGGGATTAAGGTGAAAATAATTGATATTCAATGAAGAAATTGCATTTCTAATTTATTTCTGCTAAATAGTAACATATTTGGAATTCTAATATACCATTAATGTGTACATACAATAGTATATCCTTTTAGAAAACAATTTGACAATATAAAGAAGCTTATAAATATTCTTAACCTTTGATGCAATTATCTACTTCTTGGAATTCATCTGAAAAGAATTAATCAAAAATAAGTACAGTGATACATATTATATCAGTATTTAATTAGAAAAAAATCTGAAAACAACATATAAATGTCAAATACTAATGAAATGGTTGAAAAACAAAGTATATTCTGCGCAGATGTGGTGGCTCACACCTATGGGAGGATCCTTTAAACTCAGTAGTTTAAGACCAGCCTGAACAAGAGTGAGACTCTTAAAAAAAATAGTAATTTATTTTTTACTCTTTTATTTTAGTCTTTATTTAAAAAAAGTTACAATACATTGCATATTATAAATACAAAACAATACACAATTGTATATTGTAAATCAAGATTCTACAATAGTATATTACAATAGTAGTATTACTATTTTTGTAGAATAGTACATAGTCATTAAAAGTTAAGTTTTTGAAAGGTAATTAATTAAAAGGGAACATTCTCATTATGTTAAATAAAAAATTAAGCCATAAAAATTTTGTCAAGATGAAACCAGTTGTGATTTATATATGTATACATTGTATAATACATATATGTATATTTTATAATTATAATGTATATGAGGAAAAAGGCTATTTTTAAAGGGTTAAAAGAAAAAATAAATTTAGATATTAGCCATGGCATTAATTAGCACTCGTATCTCAAGATACATTTTTTTTTTTGCCACTTACAATAGTTCTAATGACCACCAAAATATAGAGGCAATAAGTTTTAAAAAACTCATAATTGGTAACAATCAAGCAAATTTGTGGCCTTGGGTGCAGCAGTAATCCTCCAGGCTTCCTCAGCTCTCTGGGGACCCATGACCAAGGATGTGGGCACCAGTGTCTTTTCTAGATCCAAAACTTGTGGCACCTTCCTGTCTCCTTTGAGAATTCCTCCTTTTCTCTCCAAACTCTTAATGACGAAGTACCCAGGATTGACCCTTGGTCCTCCTCTCTACTGCACTTACTCACACAATGATTCTCATCTGTCTAAGACTGATGCCTCCCAAATTTATGTCTCTAGCCCTGGCTGCTCTCAGAACTCCAGACTCTTGGATCTGACCATAGCCAACTGCCTACTTGGCATCTCTACTTAAATGTTGAATAGAATTCTCAAATATATCCAAAATGTCATCTTCCTTCCCAAATCTGCCCCACCCACAGTATTTCCCATCTCAGTTTCATCTGCAAGGGGTCAGACCAAAAATGTCAGAGTCAGCCTGGATTCTTCTTTTCCTCCTACTCGCCAGGTCCCACCCATAAATAGATCTGGTAGTTTCAACTTTAAAATATATCAAGAATTTGACCACATCTCACCACCGGTGGTGTTGTATCCCTATCAAGGACCTCATTATTTTTCTCTGAAACCACTGCCACACCCTGTCCATGGTCACCCTGCTTTTATACTTGGCCCCATAAGAGCAGGAGTCTTTCTTTGCCTGTTGAGTCCCTAAGTTATCCCTAACACATCACAGTGGTACAAATTAGTGAACTGGATGAACTTATAATTGCTTTCAATCTACTTAGTTTGGTATTACTATGCCCTACTAGTGGTAGAAGTAAAAACAAAAAAAAATGCTTAGTGACATTATAGTGTTTCCAAAAGCAAATATTACAGTTCACTTAATGTCCTTTGAAGGGAGAACACTAAAGTCCACTACCCAACCCATGGTCACCTTCATGAGAAACTCAAATTCTAAACATCATTTTCCCTCTCATCAGGACAACTTGTAGAATATATTGCTTATGTAATGTTGTGAGAGCTAAGTAAAAGTCACTGCCTACATTTAGGTACTTGTGGTTTTAAACTAGTCATTTTACATTCATAAATATATATTAGAGCGGTGGCTCTCAACTTTCCTAATGCTGTGAGCCTTAAATACAGTTCCTGTAGGTCACAACCCACAGGTTGAGAACTGCTGTATTAGAGTTTTACTATTAACAAAATTATTTGTTTTCTAGTTTTTAACTATAAGTTGATACTGGTACTCAATACAACTATGAGGAAAATCCATAATGAACTGTCTCTGTGGAATCAGCTTCGTATTTGTGTCCCCTTTGTAGATCACCTGCAATGGCTGGAGGAATCTTTGCTATATACAGGCATTATTTCAATGAAATTGGACAGTATGACAAGGGCATGGATCTTTGGGGAGGAGAAAATTTGGAACTTTCTCTAAGGGTAATTCTGACTTTGTTTTTTAAATAGTTACCTTTGGACATAGAGAGTGAAATCCAACTTTAAGTCACATAAAATGCTGTGGTAATTATGTCCAATTTCCCCACATGCACATCTGGTGCCATTCCAGTGTCATATGCAATAAATAATTTACAGGCCTCCTTGCAACAGTTGAAAACATTTAATAAAAAATTAAATTCTGGGCGGTGCCTGTGGCTCAGTGGGAAGGGCGCTGGCCCCATATACCGAGGGTGGCAGGTTTGAACTTGGCCCTGGCCAGCTAAAGCAGCAGTGACAACTACAACAAAAATAGCTGGGCATTGTGGTGGGTGCCTGTAGTCCCACCTACTCGGGAGGCTGAGGCAAGAGAATTGCCTAAGCCAAAGACTTGGAGGCTGCTGTGAGCTACGACACCACAGTACTCTACCAAAGGGGACAAAGTGAGACTCTTGTCTCAAAAAAACAAAAACAAAAAAATCAAATTCTTCTACCTTATATTTTTTATTCCTAAAAAAAAGCATTTTATTTATTTTTATTTTCTAATTTATGGTATGTCAAATTAACATCATATTTTAAATTTACCTGTGGATCTTCTTTAGTTGTCTTGATAGTTGCAGGATTTTTTTTCTGTTTGGGATTTTATTTCCCTTTTTCTCAGTCTTCTGGCTGGCTATTTGTTCTTCCTGAAAGTTCTTTTAAGCACAGACCTCTCTCATAATACTTCAGATACTCTTTTATGCATATGGAAATATTGAGAGCAATATAGTTTCCTCCAAGCCCCGACTTGGCAGTATTTCATAAGTTTGTTGCTTGTGTTCCCTTCTGATCCAGGCATTGTTTTGTAACACCCATGATTCTGGCACTTTTTAATTCTGTATTGCTGATTAGATCTCATTAATTACATTGCTCTCTTAGAACATGGCACAAGGGGTTTACCCCCTTTGGGGACCTAATAACTTAACAAGCACATCCTGTATCCCAGAAAAGAATCAATTTTGTGAATGATACCCGGGGATCTGGAAGGTCAGCGTATTCCTTTTTTGGGCTTTACATTCTCTACAGATAGCAATGGACAGCTAACATCACTCAAATGTATGAATTATCCCTGCTCCGATCTTATCAACTGCACCGTTCCTAATGCCCCTTTGTATCTTTTAAATAAGCTTGGGTGTCTTTGTTTACAAACAAATATGTAAATTAACAGATGGCTAAAGCACTCTCTTGACCCTATCTCTAGCCACACCAAGTACCCTCATCTTTCCTGAGAAAAGAATAATCTTTATAACTGCATTTCTTCTTCATTCCTCGTTTACTCCTCATTCTAGTAGAGCAACATCCTTAGAGGGCCCTCAGCATCCTGTGACATCACTCCAGGGACTGTCACAGTATGGTACCGATGTCTCATGGAGGGCTCTTGCTCTTCCATCTACTTGAGGTCACTACAGCAGTTGACGCTAAGCAGTCCTTTCCAGAAGTTTTCTCGGGTTTTAGGACAACATTCGCAGTCACCTCCACGGCTCAGTTGTTCTGTTTCCTTCTCGGAAATCCGTGTGGGTTCTCATCTCTCAGACACAGAGGGCCACAGTTTCCGTCCTTGCCATGTGTCTTCTCACCCCATGTTCTTCAAGGCTCCAAGCTGGCACCCCGCCATGCTGCACCCGTGAAGCCACGTTAGTTGTCAACACATACAGTATTCCTGTATCCAGTGTGAAAGAGCCTCTGCTCTGTGCCAGCCCAAAAGCTCCCATCTGCAGCCCAGCTACGAGGTCCAGGCTGTCTGGACTCTCCAATGTTCCAGTAACTAAAGGGATAGCCACTGGAAGGGAAGGGTCTGTGCCACACCCAGGTGGATGTCTTTAGGAACATCACCTCCTGGGTGGCACCCATGGCTCAGTGGGTAGGGTGCTGGCCACATCACTGAGGCAGGCAGCTTCGAACTGGCCCAGGCCAGCTAAAACAACAATGCAACAACAGCAACAAAAATAGCCGGGCGTTGCGGCGGGCACCTATAGTCCCAGCTACTTGGGAGGTTGAGGCAAGAAATCGCTTAAGCTCAAGAGTTTGAGGTTGTTATGAGCTGTGACGCCACAGCACTCTGCCCAGGGATACAGCTTGAGACTCTGTCTCAAAAAAAAAAAAAGACCATCCCCTACCATGGCTGTAACTAATACCTGTGTGGTGACAATACTCAAATCTATAGTTTTAGTTTAAGGCTACCTCTTGAGAGTTGTACTTCAGTTCAATTCAGCCATCATTTAAGGAGCACATCCTTGAAGCAAACTGTGCCATATGATGGGCCTTCAGAAGGAGACACGATCCATTAATCCGACAGTATTTAATAAGTACATGCTATGTGCAAAGCACTGTGCTGGGAACTAGTGGACAGCAGCACGCAGTGCCTAAGTGGCTTCCCATGTCACAAACCTTCCACTCTACTGGAGTAGAATGAGATCATTTAATTTTTGACTAACACAATGGAGCAATAGAGGACTTACTGAGATCACATAAAGGTAGAATGTAGCTTGTCCTGGGAGAAATGTGTATCCTAGATAGCTTCCTTCAAGAAGTGGCACTTAAGTTATATGTAAAGGATAAAAATGTATTTTATTTATTAAACAAGTTCTTATTAAGCCTGACATGCATTGCTTTAAAATCTCGCAGATGCTAACTCATTTAATCCTTATAACCTGTGAGGTAGGAACCACCATTATCTCTTATTTAGAATGGAGAAATGAGTCACAGAGAGTTTGAATAAACTTGCCCAAATTCACACAACTGGTAAGTGCTAAGCTCCAAACCTACTGCTTCCTGTCTGGTACTATCTACTCTCAACCCTTCCCCCCAACACCTGGTCACCTCTTCCCTTTCTAAGTCACTTAGCTGCGCTGGCCCTGCTTTAGAAGCCTCCGATGCTTGGAGCTTACTTGAGTTGTTGTCTTGAGCTCAGTGCTACCATAGCTTTTTTTTTTTTTTTTCTGTTTTTTGGCCGGGGCTGGGTTTGAACCCGCCACCCCTGGCATATGAGGCTGGCGCCCTACTCTTTGAGCCACAAGTGCCGTCCAGTGCTACCACAACTTGTGGAGACTGATGGTTCCCTGGGTGCCCCCAGAGCTTCAGACTCACTCCCAGCCTCTGAATGGTTCTCACAACTTCAAAATCCGCACTTCAGTTTTCCCAGCAAAGTGGAAGCTGGCCTCAAACAGTCCCTGCCTACCTACAGCCTCCACCTGCCCCAGCTCCTCAGTACCTGTGCCCCCTCCTGGAATCCCCAGATGTTGGCAGGGTGCGCCCAGAAACCAGGGCCCTGACTTGCACGGCGAGGATTACCACTGAGACAAGCCCAGGTCTCTGCCCCAGCCCCAGCCTGAACCTCTTAGATGTCCACGCCAGTTTAGACTCTGCCCAAGGTGTCTTTCGGATGCTGTGATGCGAAAACAGACTGTGTATTCTGCAACAGAGAAAGGGTGAAGTGGACTTTCACTCATCCACATGCCAGAGAGAGATTAGGCCAGCTCCTCCCCACCCTCCTCCCACTCTGGCTGGCACTCTTCCGTTGGTTACCCTCTTTGGCCCATCTGCGAATTTCTATTCTAAGGATTTTAGGAATGAGTTTGAGGTAGGTATCAACCACCTCAAGACCAAGTGGCTTAGAACAATAAGCACTTTCCTTTTTCTTTGACATGTCCTCGGTCGGCCTCAAGTAGTCCCAACTACTGGGAAAGCTAAGGCAAGAGGATCGCTTGACCCCTGGAGTTTGAGGCTGCAGTGAGCTGTGAGGATGTCACTGCACTCTGGCCTGGGCAACAGAGTGAGACCGTCTCAAAAACAAAACAGAAATGACTCTTAGCAATGGATGAAAAAGTAGGAAGTGCTATAAAGTATTCTAAGTCTAAAAATGATGAACAAATAATGAATTCAGTCACGATCAGCATTTTTATCACTCTTTGCTTACAGCCAGCAACGCCTGTGCTTAATTATGAAAGAGGCAGAATCGCTGAGCATTCAGACTGGCGCTCAAGTCAGATGAACGCTGAGCTCCGCCACTTACCTTCCACGTCCCTGGGCAAACTTCTTTCCTTATCTGTAAAATGGGGATAACCACGGTTTTTACATTATAAGGTCATTGTGAGGCTTAAATAAGAAACTTAATCAATATTAGCTATGATTATGCTTATAAAAATAGAACCATTGCCTATTACTAGCAGAAAAAATTAATATGTTTCTTGTTCTCATGCCTAGATCTGGATGTGCGGTGGACAGCTCTTTATAATCCCCTGCTCCCGAGTAGGACATATTACTAAGAAACAATTCAAAGAAGTTTCTGCCATCACTAGAGCCTTTACACGTAACTCTCTAAGAATGGTGCACGTCTGGCTAGATGAATATAAGGTGAGGAGTGGGGCTTGTTCTGGAGGAGCCTTCTGCTGCCTTTCTAGATACAATTTTTGGTTTTTTCTCTGTTTTCCTTAAATTAATGGTTCCCCCTCCAACCTCTCATCAACCCACCCCAACCCTATTTCTCAATTAGTTAGTTCTGAGCTACCCCTCTTGCACCTCATTATTTTTATTTTCATTTCTAGGGAAACTCAAGTTACTTCTCAGAAGTAAATCAAGAGAGGTCTTTTTCTATTTGTTTGGCCAAAATCTATTTCCCACCCCTATCCCATCCGCAAGGAATTACCAGACGCTGGAAGCAAATAGCCTCTCTCTCCGCCCCATCCCTACACGCAGCTCTTTAGATATTTCTCCTCCATTACCAATTTCCCACAGGATATGGGTGCTGCTGGTTTGGGGACCCCATAAGAACCTCCACTACCTGTGTTCCACCAGCACAGATTACTGTGTCAAATCTAGGCCCCTCCAGCTGCACATCCTCCCTTTGCCAGGACCTAAAGGTATGTATCTATCCAGAAGCCACAGACAGGAACGTACGGACAGGGAACCCCAGCAAGACCCCATGTCAGATGAATGGGAAAAGAGTCTGCAAGAATCTGTCTGTGATAGCAGATCCTGGTCTTCATCTGACCTTTCTTTTAAATTATGAAAGTAATAATGCTTGATTTCTTTGGCAATCAGGGTAATTAAATCCTGAATTAAAACCTCAGTGAGCTGTTTCTCCACCACCACCTAGATTGGTAAAATTTTTTAATCTAACAGGACTGAATATTGGTGAGCAATGGGAATTCCCAGGCACTGCTAATGCGGGTGTTAATTATCATAAGCTCACTTTTGAAAACAGTTTGGTAACATCTACTAAAGTAAAAGATATGCGTACCCTACAATTAGGCAATTCCGTTCAGAATACGTACTACAGAAATGCATGCTTTTCCAGGACACATGAACAAGAATGGGGATAAACAGCATTGTTTGTGTTAGCCAGAACCGAATGCAGTTATCCCCTGGTGTCCACAGAGGATTGGTTCCAGGACCCATTCACACTATAATCTGCACTAAATCCATACTAAAGTTGGCCCTGCAGAACCCCTGGATATGAAAAGTTGGCCCTCCATGTTCATGGGTTTCTATCCCGGGAATACTGTTTTCAATTCACCTTTGGTTGAAAAAAATCCACGTATAAGCGGACCTATGCATTTCAAACTTGTGTTGTTCAAGGATCAATTGTACAACACAAATGCTCATCAAGACTGGAGTGGGTAGGTCAGGCACAGTGGCTCACACCTGTAATCCTAGTGCTTTGGGAGGCCAAGGCGGGAGGGTGACTTGAGGCCAGGAGTTTAAGACCAGCCTAAGCAAGAACAAGACAATGTCTCTACAAAAACAAAACCCAGAAAAATTATCTGGGTATGATAGCATGTGCCTGTGGTCCTAGTTACTCAGGATGCTCAGGCAGGAGTATCCTGTGAGCCCAGGAGTTTGAGGTTGCTGTGAGTTACGATGACAGCATTTCATTCTTGCTCAGGAGCTGCAGGAAGACCTTGTTTCAAAAAAAAAAAAAAAGATTAGAGTGGATAAATGTGATAGATTTAGTTGGTGAAATACTAAACAGCAATGAAAATTAACTGTAGATATACAGTCTTGTGTCACTTAATGTTGAGAATAGGGTCTGAGAAATGCAGTTAGGCCAGAGGTTCTCAATCCTCGTGACCGACAGGAACTGAGTTAAAGGGCCACAGCATTAGGAAGGTTGAACCACTGAGTTAGGCAATCTTGTCATTGTGCAAACGTCACAGAGTGCGCTTACACAGCACAGACCCAGAAGGTAGAGCCTACTGCACACTCGGCCACGTAGGATGGCCTATTGCTCCAAGGCTACAAACCCGCAGTGGGGGTGTGCTTTCTTTTCTGCCACACATCAGAAGAATAAGAGTTGTCTTGGGCCACACATTTAATGCACAAACAGTAATGAAAGCCGATTAGCAAAATTAAAAAAAAAATTTCATGCATACTTTTCAAGATATCTGACACCACAGATAAGTAAAACAGGCCTCAAAGAAATAAAACATTCCTCAAGTAATCTGCATGTGGCCTCTGGGCCACAGGTTGGACACCCTGCTACATGTTACTATACTGAGTACTGCAGGCAATTGTAACATGAAGGTTAAGTATTTGTGTATCTAAACATATCTATCCATAGACAAGACACAGTAAAAATAGCTATATTGTAATCTTATGACCATGATCAACATGCAGGCCATCGCTGCCTGAGACATTGTCATGCATCACAACAGCACAGATAAATCTTAAAGGTACAATGGTGAGTGAAAGGAGCCAAACACAATAGAATATACACTATATTATTCCCTTTCAATGAAGTTAAAAATGGGTAAAAATAAACCACGTAATGTGTGCGTGCGTAAGTAGATACTAACGCCAGAATAAAATGCAAAGACCTGAATCAGGATGGTATTTAAACTGGGGAAAAGGGATGTGATCAGGAAAGGGGAGAAGGGCTCTTGGGATGCTGGTAATGTTCCATTTCTTTTCTTTTTCTTTTTTTTTTTGAGACAGATTCTCACTCTCTTGCCCTGGGTAGAGTGCTATGTCATCATCATAGCTCATAGCAACCTCAAGCTCTTGGCCTTAAGAGATCCTCCTGCCTCAAGCCTCTGGAGTAGCTGGGACTACAGGCACCTACCACAATGCCTATCTAGTTTTCTATTTTTGATAGAGATGGGGTCTCACTTTTGCTCAGGCTGGTCTCAAACCCTTGAGCTCCAGTGATCCATCTACCTTGTCCTCCCAAAGTGCTAGGATTACAGGCGTGAGCCACTGCACCTGCCTAATACTCTATTTCTTGACTTCAAGTTACTGGGCTTGATTTTTCAACAACCCATTAAGCTATACATTTATATTTTATATACTTTTTATGTGTTTATTATAGTTCTGATATTTGAAAAAAACATAAAACATGCTAATTTTCAAATGGCATACATTACTGAAGAATATGAAGTGAAAAGTAAGTTCTAAGCCCGTAGGTCCAGCCCTCAGAAGTAATAACTGAATTACTCTTTGCAGTTGCCTCTTACCACACCCATGTGCACAAAACTAAATCCTTTTCTTTTACATAGCTAGATTTACAAAATGTTTTCTTCCGAATTTTTTCATTTATTATTATTATTATTATTATTGCAGGTTTTTTTCGCCAGGGCCAGGTTTGAACCCACCGCCTCTGGTATATGGGGCCGGCGCCCTACTCCTTTGAGCCACAGGCACCACCCCATTTTTTAGTATATTTTGAAAATACATTTCAAATCATTTTTCAAAATCAGAAATAGGCTGGGCACAGCAGCTCACACCTGTAATCCTAGCACTCTGGGAGACCAAGGAAGAAGGATCACTTGAGCTCAGGAGTTTGAAACCAGTCTGAACGAGAGCAAGAGCTGTCTCTACTAAAAATCAAAAAACTAGCCAGGTGTTGTGGGGGCATCTGAGTCTCAGCTCCTTGGGAGGCTGAAGCAAGAGGATTGCTTACGCCCAAGAGTTTGAGGTTGCTGTGAGCTATGATGATGACACAGCACTCTAGCCTGGGCAACAGAGTGAGACTTTGTTTCAAAAAAAAAAAAAGACTAGGCATGGTGGCTCACACCTGTAATCCCAGCACTCTTGGAGGCTGAGGTGGATGGATTGCTTGAGCTCAGGAATTCGAGACCAGCCTGAGCAAGAGCAAGACCCCATCTCTAAAAAAAATAAAATAAAATAAAAAGCCAGACATTGTGGTGGGTGCCTATAGTCCCAGCTACTTGGGAGACTGAGACAAGAGAATTACTTGAGCACAAGAGTTTGAGGTTGCTGTGAGCTATGATGCCATGACACTACACCCAGGGTGACACAGTGAGACTCTGTCTCAAATTAAAAAGGAACATAAAAATCTCATCCTTTTTTGTTTATTTGTTTTGTTAGAGACAGAGTCTTATTTTGTTGCTCGCCCTCGGTAGGGTGCCATGGCGTCACAGCTCACAGCAGCCTCCAGCTCTTGGGCTTAGGTGATTCTCTTCCTCTGCCTCCCAAGTAGTTGGGACTATAGGCATTGGCCACGATACTCAGCTATTTTTTTGTTGCAGTTAGGCCAGGGCCAGGTTCAAACCCGCCACCCTTGGCATATGGGGCTGGTGCCCTACTCACTGAGCCACAGGCGCCGCCTGAAATCTCATCCTTTTAAATAGTTCCTTTGGATGGATCTACTAAAATCAATCCCATTGGTAAATACTCCCTTTTGATAACCATTCTGATCATCCTGGCTTTTCTTTATTTCTTAATACTTAAATGAACATTCTTCACACATTCTTGTGCAAATGTATCTTTAGAATAAATTCAAAACATGAACTCATTGGGACACTAGCTACTGCATTTTAGACCCTGATGTGTAATATCCAAACTGAACTTGAGCACCTTTGAACGTGTGTGAGAGTGCCTGTCTCTGCACAATGGTTATAATTGAACTGTGATACTCTTCTAATCTGATAAGTTAAAAAATGGTATCTCATTATTCAAAATTGTGTTTATTACAAGAGATTGTGAGCTTATTTTCATGTTCATTCTGTGAGCTCTGATTATGGATCTAGGTGGTTGAATTGAACACAGATATCTCTGAGTGGTTTTCTGAATTTCATAAAACACATAGTGCTAAAAAAATTAATGTAATGTTAAGTATACAATCAATGGCTTGTATGATATAGCACATTGGGAAATTTAGTGACTTACCCAGAGGAGAGGGGGCTTTGTACAGGGAGATGGAAATGATAACACCCTCTTCCACCTTTAGGTCCATCCTCTGCACCAATCTGCCCTTGGGATCTAGAACTGGCAAAGACCTACAGTGGTCACGGCTCCCAGGGAGAACCCAATGTGGCATGCCCATGATAAGCTGACTTGGATAAGCAAACTCACCCTCTCATGCAACACAAGTCGTAGCCTGTAATCCAGGCACTGGGATGAAAGTACAAGAGTTCTGCTCTCTAAGAGGCTTCAGTCTACCTAGAATACCTCTTTTAATGTGGATCCAGCAGAGTCTGTTAGACATTTATTCTTAGTCTTCCTTAAGTCACAGCACACAAAAAACCAACCAGAGTTGGTTACTCTGTGCCAGCCTTCCTCTCCCAAGGGCTTTACAAGTACATATTAAAGTGTTCAGTCTTCACAACAACCTTAAGAGGAGAGGCTTCAACTAACTCGTCGAGGTCATACAGATAATTAACAGCAGAGCTGGACTTTGAACCCGGCCAACCCCCTTCAGAGCCATTATGCCCATGGCATCCCCTGTTTCTGAGAAGACAGAAGTACTGATTGGGTCTGGGGAGTGAGGGGTTCCTGGAGTATCACTGACAGAATCTGAGGAGGGGCACTACCACAGATGGCTGTGTTTCTGCAGCTCCTCAGCAGCAGGACCGGTCCTCTTGGATCCACTCTGACACTTGTCATGGTGCCGTGGCACATCCTGTGGGTGCTGTGTACTAGGTCAGTAAATCCAAGACCTGGTGGTATGTTTCTGCCCTTGTTCCCCACACAGAGGAAATTGGGAGGGATTTCTGAGTGCCATGTTAGATATGATTTGATTACCAAAGACTTGTTTGGTTTAATAAATTTTAACTCTTTATTTTCATTTAGGAACAATTTTTTCTTCGAAAACCTGGTCTAAGATCCATTGCCTATGGAAACATTAGCGAGCGAGTCGAATTAAGGAAGCGATTGGGTTGCAAGTCATTTCAATGGTATTTGGATACTGTCTTCCCAGAGTTGGAGGCATCTGTGAACAGCTCATGAAAGGAAAACAAATCATTTTCATTAATAAAGGGTTAAAAGGTCCCCTTATCCTTCAACATAGTAGCATTAGAGTACAAGTTTGCAGCATCATGGAATCATGGGAAGTGCATATGCAAATCTACAACTGGCAAAGACCTGCAGGGTCAAGGTTCCCAGGGAGAACCCCATGTGGCATGCCCATGATCAGCAGAGTAGCCTACAACACAAGTGCCTTTCCCCCCTTTAATGACAATTCCTAAGACTGTGTTACTCATCTATCACTAAATCTCTGAGGGGTCAAAACTCTAAACATTAGAAATGCAGGCTGTCAAGCAGTTAAGACTATCCTCTAATTTATTACGGTAAAGTGTACACTTTGCAGTTATTTGCTGAAGTTGCTGGAACCGCAGGTGCTGCTCTGCCCTTGGAGACTTTCTGCCTAATTTCTGCAGTCCACAATCATCCCCTTAGTCAGATGTGCACAGAAAGCCTTGCTTGGCACATGCTGACCTAGGCTGCTTTCTTTCTTTCTTTCTTTTTTTTTTTTTTTATTGAATAGTAACTATGTACATTAATGCACTTCTGGGGTACAGTGTGGTGTTTTCACAAACAATCTGAAACACTTCCATCAAAAAAATATGGAACGCTTCACGAATTTGCGTGTCATCCTTGTGCAGGGGCCATGCTAATCTTCTCTGTATGGTTCCAATTTTAGTATATGTGCTGCCGAAGCGAGCACCTAGGCTGCTTTCTTGCAGTGTGGATCCTGGCACTGACACCTTGCTTGACTGGGTCCCTGAACTTCTGATGTCTGTTTGCTTGTTTGGATGTCCAGTTCAGCCCTCCCAGCCAGCTTCCCTGTTTGTTCCTGTCAGCCTCTGTGTCACTGGAGACGCTTCCCTGCTTCCGAGTTTGCGTTTTCACTGTCTCTCCCGCGGCTCTGGCCGACAGCTCTCCTTCCACTTCTTGCACTGTGTGAATCTACGTTCTGATGGACTCTTGGTGACTTTAGCCAGGATCGGGGAAGAAGCTGCTGGGTGTTTGGGGCTGTTGAAAGCCCAGAGAAGTGCTTTCAACATCTGAATGTGTGGCCACCACATCCTCTGGGCATCTTTGGGGCTAGAAGGATCTCTGTTGGGTTCACCCTGGTAGTGGTGGCGAGGAGGGTGACAGGGACTAAACTCTATAAGGAAACAGAAGATGAGGAAAGGAAGACATTGAAGGGGGGAATAAGAAGGGAAGGCTGCTTCTGACAGGTAACAAGAAAAAAATAGTCTGTATTGGAGAAAAGACAAGTTTGTTTTTATAGGAGGAAATCATGAGGCTCGTCTTTTCATTATGCTTATGCAATTAACAGTTGAATGTTTACTCAGGGCAGGTGCCTGGATGCTGGGATGGGGCAGGCAAACATTCTTCCCTTCACGAAACCCCTGTTTTTTGAGATGACAGATACAATGTAAAGAAAAAAGAACCTTTTTGTAAGTACCTCTTTATGCTTACCCATTCAGCAAAATACTTTTTTTTTTTTTTTTTTTTTTTGAGACAGAGCCTCAAGCTATCCCCCTGGGCAGAGTGCTGTGGCATTACAGCTCACAACAACCTCCAACTCCTGGACTCAAGCGAGTCTCCTGCCTCCGCCTCCCAAGCAGCTGGGACCACAGGCGCCCGCCACAACGCCCGGCTATTTTTTGGTTGCAGCCATCATTGTTGTTTGGCGGGTCCGGGCTGGGGATTCGAACCCGCCACCTTAGGTGTACGTGGCTGGTGCCTTAGCCGGTTGAGCTATAGGCGCCGAGCCTCAGCAAAATACTTAATAAAAATCAATTGCTAGAAATACGCAGGGATAATTGGTACTAATATATTACAGGCAGCCTGGGTAACTTGACTAAGCCTTTCAAAGGTCGACCTGGCAACACAAGTGTCACATTGTAATTCTATTCTTGGTCCATGTGTTATTTATACCTTGCCTGCTTCTAGAAAGCCCTTAAAAATTGGTCCTAATTAACCCATGAACTTATTTAAGATAAAATAGAAATCTCAACAGCTGAAGGAAGAAAGAATTAGAGTAGTATAAATATGAAGTATCTCCTTTTGAAGTAACAGCTTTTTTCCTAGTATTGAAATTTGAGAAAACATAAAGAATGGATACTGTAAATAACAAGCTTTTCTAAAAGAAAAAGACAGAAATGTTCTCTATTTTTTTTTTTAAAGCCATCGACCCAATATTAAGTCTTAGTTTTGTAATGTAATCTATTCAGGTACTAGATAACACCAATTAGTCCTAGAAATAGTTTAGCATTCCTTAGACAATCTCTTCTTAAATATTGTTTCAGTTGACTCTAGAGTAGAAAACAAATCAGAATCAATATCCAAGTATTTGGGGTTATTTAAAAGAAATCTATGGGGTGGTGCCTGTAGCTCAAAGGGGTAAGCCACCAGCCCTATATGCTGGAGGTGGTGGGTTCAAACCCAGCCCTGGTCAAAAAGAAAGAACTTCTTTAAGGGGCAGTGCCTATGGCTCAGCGGGTAGGGCGCTGGCCCCGTATACTGAGGGTGGCAAGTTCAAACCTGGCCCCAGCAGAACTGCAACAACAACAACAACAAAAATAGCCAAGCGTTATGGCAGGCACCTGTAGTCCCAGCTACTCGGGAGGCTGAGGCAAGAGAATCATCTAAGCCTAGGAGTTGGGGGTAGCTGTGAGCTGTGATGCCACAACACTCTATTGAGGGCAATAAAGTAAGACTCTGTATCTTAAAAAAAAAAAAAAAAGAAATCTATGAGGACAATTGATGACCTAAGACGCCATGATGGGTAGGGGAATGAGGGAGGGGGTTGGGGGTGTCACAGTTTATGATACACCTCTTGGAGGCAGGACACAATTATATGAGGGACTTTATCTAACAAATGACCTGGTTCTCTGTATCCTCAATTAATCCCCAACAACAACAACAAAAAAGCTATTCTTGGCTATAGGTGGCAATTTTTTGTTTTTGTATGGAAATGTAAAGATCTGATTTGTATTCCGGAGCTAGTTATGAAATATCTGCTAACCTGACCAAGGCTTTTCACAAAACATAGTTTTGGTATAATGAAATGCTCAAACAAGCCTAAATCAAGCCCAAGAATTCTATAACTGAAGCATCCTTCTAGGAATTTATCCTAAGACACACCTGTGCAAAACAGTAATAAGAGCTGACTCACTTATCCTACAGCAACTAGTCCACATGAATTATCCCATTTCATCCATATGATAATTTTATGAATTCTATTACTATCCTCATTTCATAGGAAATGAGAAAACTAAGAATAGCGTTTGCCTAGGGTTAGAGTTGCCACACTTAGGAAATAATAAAAATATAGGATATCTGGTTAAATTTAAATCTCAGGTAAACAATGAATAGTATTTTGGTGTAAGTATTCTACAGTTTGAATGTGTCCTTTATAATTCATGTTGAAACTTAATTGCCAACGTATGATAATGTGCTATGGTTTGAAAGTGGTTTATCCTCACCAACATTCATGTTGAGGCTTAGTCCCCGAGTAAGGGGTGTTAAGAGATGGTGAGAACTTTAAGAGGTATTTGGGTCTTGAGGGAACTGCCTTCTTGAAGGGATTAATGCAGGGAGTGAGCTCTTGGTCTCTGAGGACTGAATTAGCTGGTTGTTAATAAGCAAGGCTGTCCCATGCCCACCTCCCCCTTCAATTCCCTATCATGTTATGATGCTGCATGAAGCCCTCACTAGAAGCCTGATCTTGGACTTCTCAGCCTCCAGGATTGTGAGAACACAAATTTTTGTTGTCTCAAGACTACCCAGACTTGGTGCTCATAGCTCAGCGGTTAGGGCATCGGCCACATACACTTAGGTTGGTGGGTTCAAACCCAGTCCAGGCCTGCCAAACAACAACAACAACAACAACAACAAAATAGCTGGGCATTGTGGTGGGCACCTGTAGTCCCAGCAACTCAGGAGGCTGAGGTAAGAGAATCGATTAAGCCCAAGAGTTTGAGGTTGCTGTGAACTGTGATGCCAGAGCACTCTACTGAGGGCAACATAGACTGTTTCAAAAACAAACAAAAAGACTACCCAATTTAGCACAAACCAGCTAAAACAGATCTATTCCACATATAGCATAGGACACACACTGCAAAATTATTCTTTATCTGAAATTCAAATTTAAGACCATCCTGCATTTCATTTGGCAACTACATCCAGGGACAAACACAGCCTGGGCTCCAAGCTACTTTTAACCACAGTGATACACTGAAAAGAGCATTTTAGTGTCATTCTTCATAATTGTGAAAAACTGGAGCTAACCCAAATCCTCAATTACTAGAATAATAGTTAAGTGACCTTGTACATCATTTAAAATAACAGCTATAGACAGGTTTGTTTGATATTAATCAGATTGGCAAATATTTAAATATCTGACACTATCAAAGATGAAGAGAAGTTAGAGTAATGGAAATTCACATGTCCTGATTGTACCTGGTCTAGAGCAGGACTTCAAACTTTAGTTGGTATATAAATCACTAGAGGGCTTGGTAAAATGCAGATTTAATTAAGTAGATCTGGGGTGGAGCAAACTCCTGTTGCCAGTCCCCGGTACTACCATGTGAGCAGCAAGTCCCTAGAGCTTGTCTTGAAACTCTTTTGCATGGGTATACCCCAAACAACCAACCCTCCCACCCCCAAAGCTTTGTAGCCCTTGATACTTGTTTGAGGTGATATTTAACATTTTCCATTATAGGCCTAGGTAGTTGAAAGGACATATTCTGGCAATATTTATATACTTAAATTTGTTATATCACCTCTAAATATACTTAGTAGACTTCACACTCATTTCCTTGCCACTGCCCATGACAGTTTCTGAGGAGTTCCCAGCAGGATTGAGCCCTAGTAGGGCAGATTTGGTATAATACAGCGTATGTTTTTTGTGAGCTGCAACCACTGGCAGATGCTGGGTGAAGACACATGTGTATTCTCTACACTATCTTTGTAAGAGAAAGCCATACCTGAAAAACATGTTAATTCCAGTTGCCCCACCAGGATAAAAGGGGTCAAAGATACTCAATTTAGCACCAAGCAGCTTTTATCTTTGGCTGAGGGCAGTGCCACAGAAGGACTCTGCTGGGGGCCATCAGCTGCCTATGCATACAACACCGCGAAAATGAGTCCTCAGTACTGATGGGAAACCTGGGCGGCACCAACGTGGCAACCCCTACACCCTGATAACCCCATTAGGTATTTAGAAGGGCCTATTAATTCAGGAGAAGATGGGCTGGGCAACATGTTTAGCTCTATTCAGCTCAAGTACACTGTTCTTTCCCTTCCCCGCACTCTGCTCTTTAATTTGTAAGGGTGGCAGAATTTCCCCCCTACATATGCACAATGTCCTTATCAGACTTTGATTGTGAAGCACTACGGTCTTAAAAACATTTAAAAAAAATTCTTGACCCAGCTGGGTGCAGTGGCTCACGCCTGTAATCCTAGCACTCTGGGAAGCCCAGGCAGGTGGATTGCCTGAGCTCATCAGTTCGAGATCAGCCCCGCTACAGCGAGAACCCGTCTCTAAAAATAGCCAGGCATTCTGTAGTCCCAGCAACTTGGGAGGCTGAGGCAAGAGTATTGCTTAAGCCCAAGAGTTGGAGGTTGCCGTGAGCTGTGATGCAACTGCACTCTACAAAGGATGACAAAGTGAGACTGTCTCGAACAAACAAAAAAAATTCTTGACCCAGTGGGATTTATTTCAGAATACAAAGTTAAATATTAAGACATTCATGAGTATAATTTAACATTGCCGGGCCAAAGTTGAATGCCTGTACCATTTTTGTTGGAGATTGCCAAATTCCCCTCTATGAGGTTGCATGTGGGTCTTTTTTCATAGCTTTTCTCTTCACACTTTAACCTCCGCTTCCTTTGTCATATGTGATGTTGAACATCTTTTAATATATTTAAGGATATGTGTCCTTTTTGTTGAGAGATGGGGGTCTCCCTACGTCGTCCAGGCTGGGCACAAGGGCTGTTCCCTGGCGCGATCCCACCACCAATCTGCACCAGAGTTTTGCCTGCTGCGTCTCCAACCTGGGCCGGATGTCACCACTCCCTAGGCATCGGAGGTCCCCGACCCCCAGGAGGTCACCACATAGACGCCCCACTTAGGTGTGACAGACACTTCGCTGGGACTGTGCGCCAGCCGGGAGCTCCCAGGCTCGAGCTACGCTCCTCGCTTCAGCCTCCCAACCAGCTGGGGCCACAGACAGGGTATCTGTCTTTACTGGGGTTCTCTTCAGAGAGAAAAGCCCGGACCCCAAAGCCAGGGCACTGCTCGCAGCTGCGAAATCTTCAGGGGGAACTCGCACAGTCCTGCCGCTGCCAGCCCCGCCATATAAGGGCGGCAGGGGTGACGTCAGAGGGGCGGGGCCTGCCGTCACGTGGCGCCGGCAGCCGCGCGGCGCTCTGCCTGGACTGCGGCGCGGGTACTAGGCGAGGCCCCGGGGCCTGGGCGAGCCCGCGGCTGCCACCCCGCCTAGTATCTGCGCGACGCCCGGCTGCCCGGTCGCCCGGGCCGCATTCCCTCCTCCCCGGGCAGCTCCGCCCGCCGCGGCTCCTGCGGCTCGGACTGGGGCTGTGGCGGGAGGGGAGATGATGCCACTGCCCGAGTCCCGGAAGGCCGCGATCCTGGGCTGCCAGCGTCGCGGTGAGTAGCTAGGCTGGCGGCGGCGCCTGACCCCGCGCGGCCTCCGTCCGTCCGCGCAGCGCCTGGGGGGCGAGACTCGTGGCGCGCGCGGGCTCCGGGGCGGGCTGGAGGACGCACCCGCAACCAGAGGCCGGCGGGCTTCGGAGCCTGGGGGCAGGTGTAGCGCCTGGGACTGGTCCGACCCGCTGGCGTTCGGAGGCCAGAACTTGTCCCTTCAGGTTGCTGGGTTGCCTCCCGGGGAGGCGGTGCCCGCCCCCTACAGTTCCTCCCAGCGGCCGGCCGGTCTCGCGCTGCTCGGCCGGGCGCGGGAGACGCAGTTAGCGCTGGACGAGTGCAGGGAAGGCCCGGACGCCGCTTCTGGCCTCATTTTCAGGCATTTTAGAACAGGGATCCTGGAGAGGAGAGGACACAGACCCAGAGCTGCTCAAGCCCTAGTTTCCGCAGCATTCTCCGTTCACGTTCCTCTGGAAGTCTCATATTTTTAACTGTTGGTTTGTGCGGGTCAGGATTTTGACCAGATTTACACGTGATACTTGGTTGATGTGCTTCTTAAGTTTCTTTGTTTTTTTCTCTTTACAGAATGTTCGTTGAAGAAATTGGGTCATTTGTCTTGTGTAATTTTCCGTATTGTCGAAATTCATGCTGTTTGGATAAATATAAAAATGCCAACGCTTCTGTTCTGTAATTCTCTTTGAGGAATATTCGTAATGGACTAGCTTTGTTTAATTTTACCATCAAAGAAAATTTAGTCTGGCGTTCCTTTTTACTTTGCATTATGGAAACAATCGGTTGGTTGGTTGGTTGGTTTTCCAGATATAAAATGGTATCACAACTTTGAATGTGTTTTTCTTACCACTGTGCACCCACGAAAATACTCTGGTGTTACTCTCCTCCCTCAAATCGCAGCTTTAGGCTAGACTTTAAAATTTTTTTTTTAAAACAACTTATCTCTTTCCTTTTCTGCCCAAATATTGTATTTTGAGATCTACTGCCTTAAGACAAATAGGAACTAGAAAAACCCCTCTACCTTCTGTACGTCCCAGTTGAGCTTTTCAAATGTCATAAGACAGTAGTCCATGCTTCACTTCTGACAGTTCCTGTTCCTTGAAAGAAGTTCTATTTTTTTTTTTCTGGTGGTAAAATACACCTAATATGAAGCTTATTTATTTTTTAGAGACAAAATCTTACTTTGTCGCCCTTGGTAAAGTGCTGTGGCATCATAGCTCACAGTAACCTCCAGCTCTTGGGCTTAGGTGATTCTCTTACCTCAGCCTCCCAAGTAGCTGGGACTACAGGCACCCACCACAACACCTGGCTATTTTTTTGTTGCAGTTTGTCTGGGGCCAGGTTTGAACCCACCACCCTTGGTTTATGGGGCGGGTGCCCTACTCACTGAGCCACAGGAGCTGCCTTGAAGCTTATATTAACCATTTAAAAATGTATTGTTTAGTGGCATTAAGTATGTTGCAGTGTGTGTCACCATCACCAGAACTTTTTTTTTTTGAGGCAGAGTCTCACTTTGTTGTCCTCAGTACAGTGCCATTGCATCACAGCTCACAGCAACCTCAAACTCTTGGGCTCAAGCATTTCTCTCCTGGCTAGAGTACTCTCTCAGTCTCCTGAGTAGCTGGGACTATAGGTGCCCACCACAACACCTGGCTATTTTTAGAGACGGGGGTCTCCTTCTGGTTCAGGCTGGTCTCAAACCTGTGAGCTCAGGCATTCCACCCGCCTCAACCTCACAAGCATGAGCCACTGTGCCAGGTCTCATCACCAAAACGTTTTAATCACCCCATTCAGAAACTCGTAAGCATTGAACAGTAATTCTCCATTTCCCCTCCTCTCACAGCCCCTTTCTGTATGTATGAATTTGCCTGTTCTATATACTTCATGTAAGTGGAATTGTACAGTATAAGTGTCCACATATAAGTGGAAAAGTACAGAGTCCTTTTGTGTCTGACTCATTTCATACAATGCTTCAAGGTTTATCCATGTTGTAGTATGTACCACATTTCATTCTTTTTTAGGGCTGAATAATACTCTATTGTACTATATTTGACAATTTGCATATTCAGTTGTCCCTTAATGGGCACTGGGTTGTTTCCACCTTTTGGCTTTTGTGAATAATGCCGTGAACATGTGGTTACAGGTGTGTGTTTGAGTCCACATTCAATTTTGTGTGTGTGTGTGTGTGTGTGTGTGTGTATTACATGCAGGAATAGATTTGCTGGGTCATATTGCAATTCTGTGTTTAACATTTTGAGGAACTGACAAGCTTTTCTTCACATTTAAGAAACTGCTTTCATACCTTATTAATTGCTATATGGCTCCACTTCAGCTCTCCTGTGTCTTTACCTCTCTAAATCTTTGTGACACCTCATGTTGCTTGTCAGCAGCCCTCTTGAGCTCTTCCACTTTGTAGACCTCAGGTCTCCGCAGACTCCTGTGCCTCACACAGAACTTAAGTACTTCAGTTCTTGCTCCCTAATCCATTATCCTGTCCTCATTACTTAAGCCCTCCTCGGCCATTACTTTCATGTAACTTAAACTATCATTTCGATGTTTATTTTAGACTTCTGAGGCCTAGATTTCAGTTTGAAGCTCATGGAGATCTCCATATCAGTGTTCTCTCAAATGTGCAATGTGCGGAGTAAAATTCATCTTCTGTAAATCTTATCAAACCTATTCTTTCTGCGCTCCTTGTCAGCAAGACTCAAAAGCTGGGTATTGTTTTTATTGTCCATTTCTCTGTTAGGGGCCCATGTCCTGTCAAGTTGACAAAAGTGGACAGTTCTGCTGCTGAGACTCCATTCACTTTCACAGCCTTAGATCAAGCCTCTTACTGGAATTTTTCTAACTGTGCTCCCTAATTTGAAATTTTTTTCCCATCTCAAACCTTTTGACATACAGCTGCTAGGATTTGCTTCTTAAGATTTATTTGCTTTACACCCCTAGTGAACTTTTTTTTTCCATGCAGAACAAGTTAGTTTTTCTTATCTTCAGCATCACAGCCTCATCCTATCTTCATAGATAATAATCACCTTATACTAGCCTTATCCTGCCCCTGTGTATTCATCCATAGTCATTGCAGCCAACTATTCTACTTCCTATTCTGTTCAGATAACTGAAAACATAATGTGTTGCAGTTTCCTAAGACTTGAACTTTCTGCTTGAAATAATTTCAGCATTTGGCCCTTAAAATTTTTATCTTTAAAGCCAAAACATAAATCTAAACTTCTATAAGAAATCTTCAAGTGTTTTCAGACATAATTGATTTCTCTTCCATCCCTTGTGTCCATATAGTTTGATTATATCCTTATTATTGCAACACTTTTTAGGGTTTGCTTTCAGATATGCCAAGTTTTTTATTATTTATTTTTCTGGGACAGAGTCTTACTCTTTTATCTAGGCTAGCGGATCATGCTTGCAGTAACCTCAGACTGCTGGGTTCAAGCTGTCCTCCTTCCTACTCTCCCAAGGAGCTGGGACTACATGCACCTGCAACAATGCCTTGCTAATTTTACTATTTTTAGTGTGTGTGTGTGTGTGCGCGCGTGTGTGGAATCTCACTTTTGCTCAGGCTCTTCTCCAGAGCTGAAGTGATCCACCCACCTCAGCCTTCCAGAGTGCTAGGATTACAATCATGAACCACTTGGTCCAGCCAGTAAGTTTATTTTTTTACTTAGAGAAAATTAGATTACTGATTAAAGTGTATAATCATTTTTAAGGCTTCTGTGATACTGTCAGACTGCTTTCTAAAAAAAGAGATTTATAATTTCATCATTGATAAATGTACTGTTTACTTGTATTTTGAGTATAAATATTTCAAGATGCTTTTCTAATTTGAGTTAGAAAATACTCATTTTTATTTGTATGTCTTTGCTAACTATTGAGCCTAAAGACTTTTCCTTATGTATTTCCATGTGTTTCTTTTGTGAATAGTCTTTTCTGTATACCTCATCTATTAATCTAATACCTTATTCATTTATTTAATAATCCTGTGCCATATTTGCTGCAGATATTTTCCAGTTTTTGTCGTTTTGCTTTTTAATTTTAGTTATCACCTTTTGACTTACAGAGGTAGCTTTATTTAATTTTAAGATTAATATTTTATAAATATTTTCTTAGTTTTCAGCATATTTTAAGAAATGTGAAAAGAGTTGATAAGACAAGGGAACTTAATTATAAATTGTATTTTGAAAAAGGAAGCATATATAATCTTCACAGCCTATTGCTTTGTTAAGTTTCAAATCTTCAGGATAGTAAAAAGTTCTACTTTTTGTTGTTGTTGTTCATCATACCACATTCTTGAACCTATTTGTGATATTGGAAAAGGATGCTATGTTATGGTTTTCCTGAGTTACAGGACACACACACATAAACACACAAACACACACATATTTATTTTAAAGATTTGACTCACGGCTC